TTTTTATATTTTTCAATATATTTATTTTGTTTGTACAAAATAAAAAAATAATTTTTAACGATACAATAGTCTTCGTTAGGCTTAACATCGACGAAAATTCAATGCAAAGCGACACGCAACGGAGAAAAATTTTAACATGTGATAGGTTAATATATTTTTCGTACATAATCGGTTATCCGAAATATAGATTTTCCGAACAACCCCAGTCCCCAATTGATTCGGATAAACGACACTCTACTGTATATTTATTTAAGTCTTGAATTACAGAAAATAAATAATTAGCTCTAATATTGGTGTATGCATGATTGTTATAGGTGAAAGACCATTCAAATGTCCATTTGAAGGGTGTGATAGAGCATTCACTACTTCAAATATTCGTAAAGTTCACATCAGAACTCACACAGGAGAAAGACCCTATGTATGCAAGGAAGAAGGGTGTGGAAGAGCATTTGCAAGTGCAACCAATTATAAAAATCACATCAGGATACACACTGGTATTTGAATGGAAATTTTTTAAATTTTAATATTATTTACTATATTTAATGAATTTGAAAAATATATTATCTGTTCATTAAATATGAAATTGAAGAAACTAGTTTTTTAATTATGATGATATATTTCTGATTTCATAATCTATACTCAGTTTGCAAATTAAAATTTTCTGTACTTTTCTATATAAAATGAAAGTTACATAATCTATCAATATAATGTATTGTATATCAAAAAACGTTTTTCACTATTGCAATGTGTTTATGAAAAACATTGAATAACTTTTAATTGAAAACAATACTTTAAACATTTACACTCACAACTGAAAGATTAAAAAATAGTAATAAATTTCATCATCAGTTTTCTAATGCTTTGATTTAAATTGGGATAGGCTTTTTATTAACAGGTACAAAATTATTATCTCAAAAAAGAATCACACCCTAATGTTTTTCTCTTGTTTTGGAATTTGAAACAAAGTGCTACAGATTAATGTTTTATGTAAACTCCACTTGACCTTAAAGATTGCACCAACTTTTCTTAACATGGATTACATTAATCATACAGTTACATCGTTATCAACTTTGGATCATTATTTCTTAACCGCTTTGAATTGTACAAGATTTGAAGGATGATGTTTTGCAATTTTTGTCTCTAATATTGACCACAAATATTCAGCTGGGTTTAAATCTGGAGAATGTGGAGGCCATTATAGTTTTGATCTTTCTTTGGAACCAGGATGTAATAATCTTAGCTGTGTGCTTGGATCTCTAATTGAAAAATATACTGTATTTCTTTTCAAGATGCAGTTTATGAACTGGTGGAGAAATATGCTTCTCCAGGATCCCATGGTAGACTTCTTTGTTCATTAGCCTGTTGATAAATTCAGGATTTTCTACACCTCTCCAAAACATACAGCCCCAAATCATTTTGCTATTCCCTTCATGTTTAACAGTTTTGACATTTTTTTCTTTTATTTGAGGCTTCTTCTGACCACAACTTGTTTCCAGTCATTCATAGTGAGGTTTTGATATTTCTTTGCCCATGCTAGGCATTTATTCATATGCACCTTTAAAAGCAATAGCTTTTTCTAGAATGATAACTCGCTAGATCAAAACTATGCAATTAGTTTCTGATTGTTTGGTCACATACATGTACTTGTCAGTCTGTTTGTAAAATATTGTATAACTTTGGAGCTGATAAAAAGGAATTTATTTTTTTAATCTTTTAGCATTTTCTGCCTTCACAAACCAAAGTTTTTCTTTGCTGTCCATGTTTAGGCAAATTGTCACAGTTCTATATGTTTTCAACTTTTTAACAGTACTTCTGATAGTGTCCACACAAGCATTAGTTAATGGAGGATTTTTTTTTAACCTTAGTTGAATAATTTTTTTGTCAAACCTAACCAATATTAAAAAATCATGCATTTGTTAAAAGTTGCGAGTACTTTTGAAGATATACAGCCTTCATCGTCAGGCAAAAATCAAACCAAACTTTAAACATAAGAATAGAACATAAATGTATTGTGTATTTTTTTAATTCAGTTAAGACATGAGGTTGGAATATTAAATATTCAATAAAAATTAGAACAGTTTAATAAAGATGAAATGTATGTGAAATTATCAATGAAAACATAACTCCCAAGTGTAAAAATCTTTAGAACCATCTACAAAGTGAATTGCTTAAATAATTCTATCCATAAATGAGGAATATTAATGGTAGGAGTATTACAGGGTGAAATTGACACAATATAAAGATTTTCCCATAAGAATAATATTCATTTGTCATAGCACTATCTCAGTAATCTAGTATTAGCCAAAAAGGACACATAGCTATGCTCTAATATTCTTTTTGAATGCTCAATTGTGAGCTTATTATTGGCAATATCTTGATGTTCTGCTACCCAAACAGCAGGTACTCTTTGTATGAGTAAGTCTAAAAAGGGTATCTCCTCAACTTGTTCTTGCTCAACAGAAAAATTAATTGTTGGATAGATAGAAGATAACATGTCTATAAAGACATACAACTTTTTCTCAGTGCCATCCCAAGCAAGCAAAATATTATTTACATAATGCAGATATAAGAGCAGGTAGTGAATAGCCAACGGAGAACTAAAAACTCTAAACTCAATGTTTTGCATGATAAGTTCTGCAATAACCACAAAGAAGGGAGAGTCCATTGCTACACCATAACATTTGCTTGTAAATAGTGATGTTAAATTGAAAATAGTTTGTCTCAGTAATAAGAAAAAGCACTTCCCTCAATACCTGGGGTATGAAGTGATCAGTCCTAAGGAACAATGCATATGCAAGCTTTACTGCATCAAAATGTGGTACCTACAGGTATAAAGATACCACATCAATGTTATAAAATCGATACATGCTTGTGGGCATGGAGGAAAGATCCTTAGTGATGCCTGTTTTGGTATTAAGTGTGGAGCTAGTTACCAAATTAGATATAAGCAATAAAGAAGTATTATGCTTTGCAAAAGCCTTCTCTAAGAAATATGTTGGAAGGGAGCACTTGTTAATTAGTGGGTGTAGTGGCCATTTTGGCTTATGTATGTTGGCCTCAGAAAACAGTCTATAGCATGCGACATTTGATGGAATATTAAGAGGACCTGATAAAAAGAGGCTACCACTCCTAGAAGTGCGAGCACCCTCTAAGACATTCATACAACAGTCACTGTTGGGTTTTCCTGTAACACTACAGGACCAGAATGTTCCAGAAACTCATTGGCTCTAGTCAGAAAATCATCATTCCTACAAATAACAAACTTCTTGTTCTTATCCAAAACTAATAACTTTAAACAATTACTGGCAAGAAATAGTTTAACACAGCAGCTACTCTAAGGATATGGTGGCAACACAACTTGAAATTCCACTGTGAAGAGATTTTAAAAAAAGGGATAGCTGCAACTCTGCACATTGAACAGACTACAGACTTTATGGCAACCATAAAGGGTGGAATTATTTGAGAAAAATCCCTCTTTGGAGTAGGAATAAACTTTGGTCTTTGAGATAAGACACGATGAATTCCATCTGACACCATTACTTATATAAAGTTGTAATACAGAACTTCTGCTTGCACTCTATGCCTCACTAATACCAGGTGGAATTAGCTAACCAATGAAATTTATTGTTTAACTTGTGTTCCCTTTGGGCTAATACTAGATTATTGAGACAGTGCTATGATAAAAGAACATATTCTTATGGGAAAATCTTTATATCATGTCAGTTTCATCCTGTAATAGTCCTACCATTGATATTCCTCATTTACGGATAGAATTATTTAAGCAATTCACTTTGCACATGTTCTACAAATCTTTACACTTGGAGTTATATTTTCATTGATAATTTCACATACATTGCATTTTTATTAGACTGTTCTACTTTCTGTTGAATATTTAATATTCTAACCTTGTGTCTTAACTGAATTTAAAAAAGAAACATTACAGTTATGTTCTATTCTTATGTTTAAATTTGTGCTTGATTTTTGCGTGATGTGGAAGGCTGTATATTTTTGAAAGTACTTATAATTTTCAACAAATACATGTTTTTTAATATTGGCTAGGTGTGATTTCTCTTCCATTATAACATTCCCAGTGTGAAGTGAATATTGTTTTTGTCAATAATTTTTTCTTTTGTTATTTGTGATAACCTCTTTCCATCCATCTGCATAAAGTAATTTTTGGTTAATTCAAAATCTTAAAGCTAGAATTGGACTCCTTTGTATAATTTTCTAAAATTTTTATAAATGTTTCTTATGCAGTATTTATACAATTTTTTATATTAATTCTTCCATTTTTTATGAATCTTTTTTGATGTAGTTGCAAATTTAAAATCTATGGAGATTAAAAAAGTTATGTAATATAGTGATTACTTATTGTTTTTTACTCTATATTTTTGGTTTCATTGTGTAAATTAGTTGATTTACATAAAAGATGTTCAGAAATTTTCACTTAAGTTGCAAGGGTGAGAAACATTTTTTGATATACTATATTTCATAGCTAATCAGTAAAGAATTTGCTTTCATTTAAATGGTAAACAGAAAATATGAACTTTAAATTACACAGGAAGAAATTTAATGTAAATTTTTATAATTTTTTATTTATAATTAAAAATTGATGTGTTGTTATTTAGGAGAGAAGCCATACATGTGTACAGTTCAAGGATGTGGGAAAAAGTTTACAGAATATTCTAGTCTCTATAAACATCATGTTGTTCACACACATTCAAAACCATATAGATGTGATGAATGTGGTAAGACTTACAGACAGACTTCAACACTTGCCATGCATAAACGTACTGCTCATGGAATAATTGATGCAACTGATGGATCTTTATTAGATTCATCGGTTTCTCTTACAGAAGAGAGTAATTTAGGTAAGTAAATTTAAACATATTTGTTCATAAAATTTAATGTTTTAAATTTAATACATATTTTGTTTCTACTGTAAGATGATCCTGACATGGATTCATCTAACAAAGAAGCAAGGATACATTTCCATTTAGAATCAGAAAATCAAGACAACACAACAAATCTTGTGATTCATCGACAGAATGCCAGACAGGTAGAAAATTGAAATTATTTGCTTTATAAAATTTGTTCATGCAAAATCTGTGTGTTTATTTTTTTTGAGCTAAATAGCTTATTAATTTTAAGTTGTAGATAAAAAGAAATGTTATTTAATTATTTCAGTTATTATGCATTGTAATTAACACGCACATTAGTTTATTGAATACTTAAACTAGGTATTTAATGTGTGTTTTTACCTATGCTTTGTTTATGCTTTGAGACAATTTTGCAATAAATTGTATAACTTAAAATGATAAAGTAAAATCTATTAAATATGTTTTTATGTAATGTTTAATAATATAATAATTTTTAATTTTCCAAGTAACTACTAATATTCTTGATAATTTATTTGGAAATGATTAAAAATGATCTTAAAATTTTCTTCAACTGAAACTAAAATCAATTATATTAGTGATCTGTTCAGACTGAAATTTTTGAGTGCTTTTCCTAACTTTCAAAACTTGCTTTGATTTTAGTTTTGCACGAAAAATATATTTTTTAAAATACAGTGGAAACTTCTTGATTAGCTGAAACTGGATCATCCAAAATGGTATACCAGTCTGAATATGTTAACACATGGAAGTTGGAAAAATTTTTGGTTTTATTTAAAATCAATAAATTAAAATCATATGCTTTTAAAGAATGTCTTAACTTCCATCTATTATGATGCAATTTTAAGACAACTTAAGATTTTATAATTGTGATTAGTATCTTATGATAGACAAATTTTATGATAGAACATACCTTTTTCAACTGCATTCAAATAGCATCTTGAATGCATTCATATGTAATGAAGTTCTTACATAAATTATTGAAAGTTACATTTTAATCAATAAATCATACATTAAATTTAACAAAAAATAATTAAGCATTTTTAACAGAAAAAGCATTTGTACTTGATATCATTGTCAGAATTATTAAAAAATGCTAAATTCAGGAACAAAAAACAAATTTTGTTCAGAAGTATTTTCATACTCAGAGAAGGAAAACATTTCTGAATAAAATTTGCTTTTGATTCCTGAATTTATCTTTTTTTTAAAATAATTTTAATCATTTTTAGGGCATTCTCTAATCCACTGTTTCTATATAATCATTTCATATGTGATGTATATACAAGGTCTGTCCAGAAAAAATCAACCCATTGTTAATATAATGAAAACAGTTTGTATGACATTGATGTAACCTGGCAACCAAGGAGAGTGGACTAGAATATGCATGTGTGAACAATGATTACTTCACTGTACTAGTCAGTGGGAGTGCTAGTTTTATTTTTTAAAACTGCAATTTAGTGTAATAACCAACACTTGGCACAACATTCGTTTATTTCAGTTTTTGTTGAATGAGCATTTGTACTGTGTGATCATTGCATTCGAAATGACTGAACAAGTAGAGCAATGAAACTGCAGATATTTCTTCTGAAATGAAACTGCAGCAAAATGTTCCTTCTGCTCTGGTAGCAGAAGGAACATTTTACTGCAGTTGCTAATGGCTTGCTTCAAATTGCTAACAATGAACCGTATTTCCTCAATAAGATTATAATCAGAGATGCATCTACAGTTATGATCTGGAAAAGAAGTTGCAGCAAGACAATATAGTCTTGCTGCAACTTCTTTTCCAGATCATAACTGTGTTTGGTTTTTGATTGGGAAGGTGTTGTCCATCACAAGTACCCTCTTCCAGATCAAACAATTAATTAATAAGGCATATTATCTCAAAGTTCTTCATTGGTTGAGAGATGCAATACAACAAAAACCACATCTATGGGCAGCTTCATCATAACAACATGCCTGCCCATGCATCAAATCACTCAAATGACCAGCCCTCATATAGCCCAGATTTTGGGCCCTGTGACTTCTGGCTTTTCCCAAAACTGAAATGACTCTTGAAAAGGAAGAGATTTCCAACAGTCAATGAGATCCAGGAAAATATGATGAAATAGTTTATGGTGATTCTAACAAAGGATTTTGTAGTGTGTTCTGAACAGTAGAAAAGATGGGAGAACTTTGTGAGGGAACCTTACTGCAAGGTGCCTACTTTGAAGTGGACTGAGGTTTCATTGACCTATGTATAATGTTTTTTGTATCTTCTTCAATAAATGAAATGTGCAATGTCATAACGTTGTAAATGCCATTTTTCTAAATATGTTTTATTGAAGAATTGAATTCTAAATACAATGTTTTCTGCCACAAAAGAATATTGTGGCAATATTGGCAGTGTAAGTGGTTGTATTTTGAAGATAAATTTATGTGAAAATATAACGTTTAAAGTATCAGAGTGCAAGTCACATGACTTTTGGCACATAAAATGTTGTTGCTTATATTTACATCATTTTGATATTCCAGAGAATTTGTAACCCATTGAGCTTTTTACCATTTTATTGTAAAATTGAAATGAATTCATTCATTAGGGAAAATGTTTTTTACCTTTCCTGAAGTTTCTTTTTTGGCATTTACAACATTATGGCATTGCAAGCTTCAAATGTCTCTATTTTTCATATTACTTGGCTATATATATATACAATCTAATTTTTTTATGAGTTTTTTTTATTTAAATGTTCTTATTAAATAATTATGTTGGAATCATTTTCATTTCTTCTATGGGTGAATGAACTTAAGCATCTCAATACACTTATTTTTTGTTGTATTGTTAGAATTTTTTTTATCAATTAAACCAATTTTAGTAGAACTGACATTTGAATCTGATATTTTGGATTATTAATATTTTTTGAAACAAGTGAAGTTATTGCTATTCAGAAAATCTTTTGCAATAAAAATAAAGGTAGAATTGTTAGAAGTAGTATCTGAAATGTGGAGGATTACAAAGTCTGTCTTCTAAAATTATAGTTTTCTAATACTGACATATGCTTTCTGCATCCATGTGATTTATGTCTGTGAATAAAAAAAGTAACTTTTATTTTATTAAATATTGCCATTTTTTCTCAACATACTATGGATATTTTGTAGGGTTGGGCAGTAAAATCTATAAAAAGTCATATGATGCTTTTTATATTTTAAAATAAACACACTGTAACTTTGGTTTAAGATGAGTCCTGGATAAAATTTCTATGGTGGTAGTAATTGTGATTGCACTCATTGAGTATTTAGTGATTGGCCCAGGTTTTATCACATGGTAAGAGTTATATAATTTTTATACCTTTGATGTCAGAATTTTTGCAAATGTTGTTATCCAAAGAAAGTGGAAGTTAATCAGTGAAACCCGCAGACACCGTCTGTACTTATTCCAACAGGTATGTTTATTGAAAGAAGAAATTTTTCGGTCAATATCAGACACTTTCATCTGGTTATTGTGCATGAATCAAATGTGTTAATTGAAATTTCAAACAGAACATACTATACATAAAATGATGATATTTATATTTAAATGTAATGTACGTAAAGACAAACAAAATACAAATAAATGTAATATTAAAAGTATGTATGGATTTTATAAGAAGTAATAGGCTACAAGAATTATTTATAATACTGTATACCAATTAATAAGTTGAGATTGTGTAATTGTTATCAAAAATAAGCAATAAACAGAAAAAACTTTTAGGCAACAGTTATTTGTTTTCCATGCAAATTTAGCTGCTGCTACAAAAAAAATATAGATTTAATTTAAAAATAACAAGTTGCCCTTGACATATGACCTTGAAAATGTGTTCAAAATAAAGAAACCTGCTGCCCTAAAAACAAACACATTTTATTTTAAACATTTTCCTCTGCAATGCTTCATTTTGAAGATATTTCATTTTTTTTAGGTTAAATGTTTCACACTATTATGTATTACAAAACATTTTGGCATTTATTACTGTTTCAATAAACTATGTTTCAACTTTCCATTGCTATATGTTCAGTGATACAAGGTGCACACTACATTTTTTTGGTGTATCAAATTACATGCACATTAAATTTGATGGTGCATTAGAATCAAGAAAACACAGTAATTTATTTCATTAAAATGGATTTGCTGGATTCTTAGCTATGATAGAATATATAAAATTACAGTTGTCCCTCGATAGTCCGACGTTTTTTAATCCGACATGCTCAGTAGTTTGACGCACCTCCCGTCAAGGTACCCGTCCCCGTTACGTGTCTGCTTGCACAGAAGCATGTCGCGATGTGAATCTCCCCATCCAATTCTTACTCAATGACACACATTTCGTGTGTTTTATGTGAGCAGTTCTGTTCAAACAGTTGGAGTAGAGAATATTGTAAGTTACTGCTAGCAAAACAATGCGAAATATGTAATTATTTTCAGTAATCCGACACACTTTTGGTCCCATACCTCTCGGATTATCGAGGGACAACTGTATTAATTTATTATTTGTCTGTACTTTTACTTATTACCATATTTTATGGCATATAAGACACAGCTTTTGTTCAAAAAAAGCTCAGTAAATCACCCTGCATCTTACACACAAAGTTGCAATCTCTCATAAGATAATGAATTATACCAAATTGCCTTCAATAGTATACAGGTAATCACTCCTTAGCCCACTTCTTGAATGAAAAGTTGTTTGATTAAAAACATATTATTATTTGCTATAGATAAGCAGCTTCTCAATTATTCATGTTGAGTATTTTAGTGGTAAATTTTTATTGTGAGTGAATTTTTTTTTTTTTTTTTTAAATCTTAAT